AGCACATGCCGCTGAGCTGAGGGGCGGGACGTTTAGACGCACACTAGAGACGGTTTAGCCAATCACAACACACTGGGCTAGCTAACCAATCAGAGCCCATCGCCTATTTCTGAGGGCGGGGCTTCATAAAAACAGGAAAAGATCAGCCCGTTTCTCAGAGAAGGGACAGAGCTGTGTGGAATAAAGGTAAATTATGTGAAAAATAATGCGTTTTTTTTTTTTTAAACGAAGGATTAACACATGTTAGACTGCACCCCATAAACACAATCAAGCCTAGAAAAAAAACAGTCAACCACCCCTTTAATCTGTTGACTTCTTGATATTTACTAGCATGTTAATAAGAGGAAGTACTGTTGTCCTGTTTAAATTACATTTACTGCATTATGGTCATAAATTATCAGACTAACTGTCATTTTAAAAAACATTTAATTTCTGCAGGTTTCCCACAGTCATGTCCATGACCTTTGCATGTTTATATGAAGTCTAAACTTTTATAGATGCATTCAGCTATATTTAATTACTAGAATTTTGCTGTTAGTAAGTGCAATCTTTATTTAATGATTTTTTAAACTACTCAAATTCATTAGTCAAAAGTCTTAGGAACCCATTTCAAAGTTATAAATCACTAATGATAATATGGATTTTTTGGGGCATTTTTTCCCCCAAAACCAAAGCTGTCTACCTAGACACGAAAGTTTTCTAAAAGGAAGGCAGCCAATTAATACGGCCTTCTAAGATATGCTTTTATGACAAACTTTGTTTTGCAAAGAGGGCAATACCAGAATGCATTGTGACTAGATAGATAGATAGATAGATAGATAGATCTTGAGAAATGTTTCTTGAGCATCAAATCAGCATATTAGAATGATTTCTGAAGGATAATGTGACACTGAAGACTGGCGTAATGATGCTGAAGCTTCAGCTTTGCCATCATAGGAATAAATTACATTATTAAATATATTAAAATAGTAAGTTATTTGTAAATCGTTATAATAAGTCACAATATTGCTGTTTTGCTGTATTTTTTTTATCAAATAAATGTGACCTTAATTAATGAAAAATCTTACTGACCCCAAACTTCCTGTGTACTTATTTTCAGTACTGAAAACTGTATAGTTCCATCTAATTAATAATTACCTATTTTACCCATTATCTATGTCTGCTATTTATTTTTAGTATTTATTATGTTAAGTTCAAACCAGAGTCACTTCATTCGGTAACAATCTTGATTAACACCCTTTACAGTAAGTACAACTCTTATCTGCTTGACGACAGAAACTCTAAACTGTTTTTCAAGACTGCATGTCAAAATTAGATTTAAAAGCAGCAATAAAATCTGATAATAATAGTATCATAAATTTAGCCTCTTCATGTCAAATCATGCAAAAACAGCTGTTTTGATACCAGTCCAGTTTATGCACATGCATGTTGTAGATCTGTCTGCAGAGTTGCTGCTTATCAAATCGGTCATACTTCATTAGAATAATAGAAGGTGGCTGCCTATATAGGCAGTGCACTGCAAGACTGCTTACTAGCTTTTGGATCAGCGTAATTTACATGTTATTTACGGGTCTAAAATCCCCCTAAGGGGAGTGGAGGTTTATAATGTGGTTATAAAACTACAAACATGGAACCAGATTACATCTAATTACCTTAAATCTCCACAGAAATCTTAATGTTATTCTATCACAATGAATTCTTGTCTGCAAAAGTGAGTCTGTCCTAACTGAATCAAATCCAATAAACAAGATCCTTGAAATACTGAGATAGAAGCTGTTTGTTTCTCTAGGATTTATGCGAGCTCTCTGTAAGTCATGAAGAAAGAGGAAACGTGGCCCATATCACGGGTCATCAGTCATCTGATTCATGGGAAATTCAGGCTGAGAAAGCTTTTTTGTTTGAGACCAGAGGATTCAGGAGGTCTGATTGTTGCTGAAGATTGATTTTGCAAGTACTCTGTCCCTTTGGTCCTGTGAAGAGGACCTAATTTATTTGTATCTCTGACAAAAATGACCAGAATATATTCAGTTGCCAGAGAGATTTTATTAGAACATAATAAAAAGAGGTCTTTTGAGATCTAGCATTATGTTTTCTCCAGAACTTCTACAGAGATACTTGCGTAACCTTCACAGTGCAAAGCAGAGGTTTCAAGGTGTTAAACGGCATAAAAAGAGAAGTTGCTCCCTGGCAACACCCAAACAAACAGGTTACGTAACTTGTTTACTAACCATGCATCCTCCTTCACAGACCACGACCAGCCAGGCCATCTTCAGGCTGCAGTCGGGCGTATGTCAGCTCTTCAGAGACACGCTTATCAACAAGGGCTTTGTGGAGATCCAGACCCCCAAAATCATCTCTGGTACGGCCTTCTCCAAGTGCACTTCATCTCTCTCCTTTTGTTCACATCTCTCTGCATAACTTTGAAGAAATGTCAGAGGAGTAGTTCACTAGTTATTTACTTGCATATCAAAACTCAAAGCTCTTATGTTTTCAGAGAAACTAAAAAGTATTTTTTGAAAATGAATATGTGCTGACCAGATTAAAGGGGTCATATGATGTTGCTATGTATTTGCTGTAATGAAATGGGTTTATGCGGTTTAATGTTCAAAAATCACATTATTTTCCACATACTGTGCATTATTGTTTCTCCTCTATGCCTAACGACACACACAGCGTCTTCACAACATGGCGGTGGCAACAACAATAAAGTTACTCCTCCTTTCTTTGCGTGAACATTTGGGCAGTGTTATGCAAATCTTCCCACACAGTGATGTAGACATGTGGGGGCGTGTTTAAACGAGGCGTTTTAGGAGGGCGTGGACCAGTCTTAACTTTTATAAAGAATATCTCTTTGGGTTTGAGACTTTAGTCTTTGCCACTTTAGGGATCTTATCTATTCACGAACAGCTTGTAACACTCCAAAGAGAAAGGAAAACTTGAAATTGCATCATATGACCCCTTTAAGCAACAAGCACAAATAATAGCACGATAGAAGCAATTAATTTACAAATTGGTTAAATTATCATCATGATCTGTTTTCATCATGTTTTATCAAAACAAAACAAATCCACCTCTGAAACAACTTTTCTAATGATGTAATGAAGGCCGGGCTGTGCTGAATTCTGCCATATTATGGCAGTTAAATGTCTTTTCGAATGCCACAATTCATCCATGCATGTTTCATCTTCAGGTGAAACTACAGACTTCTGTCTGTTGACGTATGCCAGACTTCTCCAACCATTTAGTCAGTTTAAACCCAGGCTTTCTTATAGCTGACTGTAAGATCATATTCAGTAATCTGTAATTTAATAATCCATTTCATTTGGATGTACATCACAATCTAGAAGAAAGATGTGTCGCTACTTCTGTTCATCATGACTTTAATCTCACAGAACATTTGAGATGACATGAGGCAAATGATCTTGTCTCCATGTTCACACTGGAGTATCTGTATTCATGACTGCAGGGACGGAGTAGCACAGGTCTTATCTCTGTCCTCACACACTGAGCCTTCTGAATGATTTCCTGCTCACGCTGTCCAACTTAGTTTATTGTTCCTTCTTTGCACCTTCAGTCTCTAAAAATTTCAATTTCAAGGATTGATACTTTTTCATTTTCTGAGGTAAAAAAAAAGACAGCGACACTGTCAAAACACTGGCTGAAGAAAAAGTGGTGTTTATTAAGGAGATATGTTTCCAGTCAGTGATAGGATGCCATGTTAGCACTCTTGAGATGGTGGGTACACCAAGAGCTGTCGGATCTGCTGGGATTCATGAACAGTCTTTGTGAAGAGTTCAGGGCCTGCTTCTGTTGACTCGACTCGAAACTCTGCAAATTGATTGCTTTCTCAGCTCTTTCTATTCATCAGAGAATCCTGAAAAAATATCAAAGTTTCCACTAAAACATTGATAATCGGTAATAATTAGAATGGTTTCTGAAAGATCATGTGATAATGAAGACTGGAGTAATGGGTGCTGAAAATTCAGCTTTGCCATCACAGGAATAAATGATATTTAAAAAATATATTCAAATAGAAAAAAAACGGTTATAATATTTCACAATATTACTGTTTTACTGTATTTTTTGATCAAATAAACGTAGCCTTTGTGAACATTAGAGACTTTTTTCAAAAAAAAAATCATACCGACTGCAAACGTTTGTCCTTTTTGGAGCTTGATAGTATAAATCATAATTTACTGATTTCAAAACATTTCATTTTCCATGGAAGACTGATTCTACCTTAAAAAGTAAAGAGAGATAATTGTGAGATAAAGTTTAAAACAAGACAAGCAAATTGAGATATAAAGTTGCATTGTAAATTATACGGTCACTGTTACATTTTTATTTATTAAGTTATAATTTGAGGCAGAAAGGAGCTTTCATTTTAGTGGTATAATCAAACTTTATTGGTATAATGAAAGAATAATGACTTTTGTAATGACAGGAGGGAATGTAAAATAAATTATATTTGATTAATTTATTTAAAAACTATTCCTTAAAAAATCTAATAAAAAACAAATACCCCCCCCTTAATACTTTTACTTTTTCCTGAATGATTGCTTGTTGATCAGGATGCTGTCTTTAGAGTTGATGGAAGTCGAGCGCCAAAATGATGTAGCTCAACTACTTCAACCACCTCTTAAATATGCTGCTTTTTTTAGTCCACCAATGATTTTAAAGACTAGGGATTACGTCAGTAAAGGTCTTGGTGGTGTTACAATACTTTCTCTCAGCAAAACCCCCCGTTGTGTTTATGTGGTTTTCGCTGTTAAGGAAAACAGTTACTTTCATTTCCTCTGTAGCCCGACCAGCCAATCAGAAAAAGCCTTAGTGACGCATTTCAAATTTAAACTTTGCCGCCTTCGTTGCGATCTGCCACCCTCAACAGATCAACATTGTGTTCTTTCAGTAAAACCGCATGACATCCGGTGCCCACACCCAACTCTACGTGCCCTATAGAACATCATGTTCTTATGATGACCATACTTACCATGAGAATTATTAGCACTTCTCTGTCCTCACATCTGCGGACAAAATAATACCTATTATCACAGTGCATATGTCTTTGTGTATTGTTCACAGCTGCCAGCGAGGGTGGAGCAAATGTCTTCACCGTCTCCTACTTTAAAACCAGTGCATACCTGGCCCAGTCGCCTCAGCTCTACAAGCAGATGTGCATTTGTGCTGACTTTGACAAAGTCTTCTGTGTCGGACCAGGTAAAGCATTAAAATACAGCCTCCTGTCTCTTCCCTTCCCTGTAATATGCTGTTCCCATCCTCAGGTCATATCTAAGGTTGATAGCAAACAATCCAGAAGACCCAGAGGCAATCATATACTGTAGACTGTAGCCTCAAAAGCATCTGGCCGCTGTATTTCTACATCTATCTGTAGAGGTCACCTTCACCAGTATCTCCTCCCTGCCAGTATGCAGATCAGGACATACTGCAGGATAAATAGACGGATTGCATTCTTGGTGCATTTGGCGGGCACAGAAATCCCTCCTGTGCAGCACACTGAATAGAGCAAGAATATCAAACACTTTCAGCAGAGCCGTGGGACGCAAGACTTCAGAAAAATACAGCTCATCAGGGACCTCTGCTGATGGGAAGTCACAATGTAGAAACAGCTTTTTTTTTTTTTTCTTTTACCTGGAAATGTTCAAAACAAGTGCATTAGTCTGATTCTGGGCAAGACATTATTGATGATCCTGTTGTTTGACACTAAAATTTGAAAAAGTAGCATTTTAGAAATTTAGCTACAAGGAAATTTAGTGTTGTTTTAGAATTATTTATATACTATCCACCTTTTTCTTGCCGTAAAAATGGACGCGGCCATTTGTAAATTCTATGGGTCTAGCTTCCGGTCTCATCCGCGTCCAGCCATTTTTAGCTGTACAAAATAGTTCGTTTTGCTGCTTGATATTGAAAATTTGTGTGTCTTATGATATTATTTTAATGTATTATCTTAATTATGAACACACTGGTTTGTAGTGCAAACAGTTTTACCGTTTACTGCACGTTGTTATTCTTCTCATTATTTATCTATAACGGCTAATGAACCGGAAGTCTCACCCATAGGCTTACTTCCGCGTTGAAGAAAAAGGTGGATAGAGAATTTATTAATATTTTAAATTAGCTTTTAGTTTTATAGTTTCAGTTTTCACTTTAATTTTAGTTTAGGTTTCAGTCATTTTGTTGTGTGTTTGTCATTTGTTTTTTTATATTTCTTTTAGCTTTTCTGTTTATTTTTAGTTTTTACCAATTGACGTACATAAACGTATTTTATTTCAGTTGTCAAAGCTTAATTTTACGTTTTTCATCTAATATTTATATTTATTTTATTTCTGCTTTATTTAAATTAACAAAAACATTTAAATAGTTTAGTTTTGGTTAACTATAATAACACTGTAACGCAATTTGATTTTTGAAAATGGGGGCCTCTGTTATTTATTTCATGATGGGAAATTTCCGTCAGCCGTGAACAATAGTAAAGTGTTTAAAATTAATTGCCCAGTGGTTTAATTTAAATACTGAGGTTACTATGAATGTGAATCTCTCAGTTGACTATGCAAATGTTTCTCCTAGTGTTCAGGGCTGAGGACTCCAACACTCATCGCCATCTGACCGAGTTTGTGGGGCTGGATATTGAAATGGCTTTCAATTACCATTACCATGAGGTCATTGACTCCATTACTGACACCATGGTTCAGATCTTTAAGGGACTACGTGACCGGTAAGAGATGTGACTCCTTCAACATGGCTTTAAATTTGCAAATAATTTAGTGAAGTCCTATTTCCTTTTAATAAGAATCAAATCACATGAGAATAAAGTCACATGAGTTTCCATTGGTAGTTTCTTCACGTGACAGAAATGCCAACACATTCATGTGATTTATAATAACAAGGATATACACTGCCATCTAGTGCTCAAGTTAATACTGCAAGTCTTTTACTTTATACTTGAAGCCTTTTACTGTTACTTACAAATGGAAATCTGACCCAGCATTCTCTTTATGTGGAATTCATTAATGATTTATCCAATCATCACAAACAACCTGACCAGCATTGAGAAAAATAACATTTGCCCACTAATGGTGTAGAAAATAGTATTTGAAAGATGAAACTGAGATGATTTAATGGAAGCCTTGAGAATCACTTTAGAAACTTTATTTGAAGCCTTCAATTGAATTTTGGGCCCACATTTCATGCAAATCTCTGTTCTGCCTACTTATTCTCTCTCATCGTGTGTCTGTGATGTGGATGCACTCCAGGTTCCAGACAGAGATCCAGACGGTGAATAAGCAGTATCCCAGTGAGCCGTTCAAGTTCCTGGAGCCCACGCTGAGACTGGAGTATAAGGAGGCAGTGGCAATGCTCAGAGCTGCTGGGGTGGAAATGGGGGATGAAGAAGATTTGAGGTCAGCGTGGCTTTCTTTGATTGAATTTCCCACATTGCACACACAGGGAATCTGTAACGTTTTAGAACAGATCTGTAATCACTTTATTTTTTCTTCCTCAGCACACCTAATGAAAAGCTGCTTGGTCGTCTTGTGAAAGAGAAGGTAAAAGATCTTTTAAACATAAATAATATACACTACTGTTCAAAAGTTCGTGCTGGGAAAGATTTTTTAATGTTTTTAAAAGAAGTCTCTTATGCCCACTAAGGCTGCATTTATTTGATTAAAAATGCAACAAATCTTTAAAAAAATATTTTAAACAGTAATTTATTCCTGTGATGGCAAAGCTGAATTTTCAGCATTATTACTCCAGTAAAAATTATTTTAAACAGTAATTTATTCCTGTGATGGCAAAGCTGAATTTTCAGCATTACTCCAGTCTTCAGTGTCACATGATCCTTCAGAAATCATTCTAATATGCTGATTTGCTGCTCAAAAAACATGTATTAATATTATCAATTCTGAAAACAATGCTGCTTAATATTTTTGTGGAAACATTGATGTTGTTTTCTTTTAGAATTCTTTGATGAATAGAAAACTTAAAAGAACATGTATATATATATATATATATAAATATATCTTACACCATTTTCTGATTTTCCTTGAAATAAAAGAGCAGACATACTCTAATGTTCTCAAGCTCCCTCTTCAGTCCACCCAGATAATTTCTGGTAACTGCAAAGTTGTTTTCTTTTAGAATTCTTTGATGAATAGAAAACTTAAAAGAACATGTATATATATATATATAAATATATCTTACACCATTTTCTGATTTTCCTTGAAATAAAAGAGCAGACATACTCTAATGTTCTCAAGCTCCCTCTTCAGTCCACCCAGATAATTTCTGGTAACTGCAAAAAATGGGTCATTCTGAAGTCTGTTTGTGACACCTTTGTTTGCTTTAGGTCAGAGAAAGTGTTAAATGACCTTGTAAATCTAAATGATCAATGTTTTTAGCTCCAGAAATATTGAAACCAGGACAAATATGTTTGTACAAATGAGTGGAATATGGCACATATAAATTAAACACATCTTTGTGTTTATTTTAGTATGACACTGACTTCTATGTGCTGGACAAATACCCCTTGGCGGTAAGGCCGTTCTACACCATGCCTGACCCCAACAACCCGGTAAGTGTTTAGAAGCCTTTAGATCTAAATACATCACTTTTTATTCAGACGCCACATGGTTCATAACAAACCCTACATGTTCTTCCTGCAGAAATACTCCAACTCGTATGACATGTTCATGAGAGGAGAGGAGATCCTGTCTGGAGCTCAGAGAGTCCACGATGCCCAGCTGCTCACTGAAAGAGCAATGCACCACGGCATCGGTAACTACACTGAAACACAGCATCCGTGTTCTTAAAAGTGATGCTCCAATAAACAGGAATACACAGAATGCGGAGTGACTATAATGCATTTGAATTACAACACGTTGTACTTCATCCTTATGGTAAATATTGGCTACTCTAAAGTCTGTTTTGTCATAGATGATACATTTTTTGCTCTGTGTTACAGACTTGGAGAAGATCAAGGCCTACATTGACTCGTTCCGTTATGGAGCTCCTCCTCATGCTGGCGGTGGCATAGGTAATAAACATTTTTTTACAATCTTAGAAACAGTCTATTCTGCAGACTAATTACTGTTTAAAGGTTTTGGGTCATTTAAGGCCAGGGCATTTATAATGTAACAAAAGATTGCTTTGTAAAATAAATACTGTACTTTTGAACTTTCTAGTCATTAAAATATTAAGTGGCTTAACTGTTGATAATAAGAAATGTTTCTTGAACACCAAATCAGCAGATTAGATTGATTTCGGAAGAATCATATGACTGGAAATCCTAAAATATTCAGTTTCTGCGTTTTAGTTCTCATTTAAAAATATCTATGGGACTTGTGTATGATGTTAAATGTCTGCCATCTCTTAGGTCTGGAGAGAGTGACCATGTTTTATCTCGGCCTACATAATGTACGTCAGACCTCCATGTTCCCTCGTGACCCTAAACGCCTGACCCCATAAAGATTAAAGCAGCCAGTCGGCTTCTCGTCTCCCGTCCTGCCTGAAGCAGTAGAACCTCTCGGACACCCAGCCGTCAGGGATCTGGACGTGCCAGGATGTGGAAGTGCCATGATGATTAACCGACACAAATTCAGCCACTTTTATAATACTTATCACCAGACACAACATTACGGATGTTAGATAAAACTAATGTACATTGAAGGGAATCGGTGTTAACTGCTATATAATACAGGTGATATTGTGACATGTATTATTAAAATCATACTGTACATGTAGGTGTTTTTCTACGGATGATGTTCCTTGACACCAAGATTTTGAGAATTTTAACAAATAATTTAAACAGTACATGCACAATAAATTAACTAAATGGTACGTTTCTGAGTATTTTTCTTCGGAAAGTTCGAAAATGATTTTTTATGTTGTACATATATTCTTGACTATGCTTCAAATCATAAGCACTTACTAAGTGATTCCCCAACCGTTGAAGGTTAATATTACATCACTTTCTGTTGTGAAATGCCAATGTAGTTCATTTCCTGTTTTATAGCCAATAGTCATCATCACTGTTGGGCAAGTTACTTCCAAAATGTAATACATTAAAAATATGTTGTTGTAACTTGCGTTACTGAGATTGTAACGAGTAATAATATTACCCAAATTTTATTAGTAATGCGTTATATTACTGCGTTACAGCAAAAAGTAATATACTACTGTAATATTATTACTTTTGTAACGCGTTACTCCCAACACTGGTCATCATACATTTGTTGATAGTTTCTCTTCATTTTATTTCCTTTCAGGTTATAGGCAAGGCAAGGCAAGTTTATTTATAAAGCACATTTCATACACAATGGTAATTCATTATAGGCTAAACATTGATAATACATAAATCAAATCACTGTTTTAGTACACGCTCACGCTTTTACAGTAGACTCTTCAAAATGCAAATGAACAGGTGGAACGTTACAAAAACAAAGTGCTTATTGTAAATAAAGTGACAATTTGGTAAAAGTATGAGCAACATCTGTGGAACAACATAATAAACAACACAACAAAATCATTTTAATAACGGTCAGTAGCGTTGAAGGTAATATTTGAGATCCATGTGATTGAAAAAGTCAAGATAAGCTCAAAGAAAGATCAGTCTCTGAGACAGAAACGCTCCGACGTGTTTATCTGTTTACTCGGAAGAGCGTCCTGTGATGTGCAGGAGGAAGATAAAGATCTGGACGATATCAACATAGAGGGAAAGAGCTCTGAAGACATATTCCTC